ACATTGAATGGGGAAAAGATTCCCTATTTAACAAATGGTGCTGGACGAACTGGCTGGGGACCTGTAGAAGACTGAAACTGGATCCACACCTTTCACCATTAACTAAGATAGATTCTCACTGGATTAAGGACTTAAACTTAAGACATGAAACCATAAAAATACTTGAAGAAAGTGCATATTGTGTTTCATGACATGAGATTCTGTAAAAGGCAAATCTTCAGAGACAACAGAAGAGTCAGGTAGACCTTTCAGACAGTGAAATTATTTCATATGAAACTGTAATAGTGTCATACATTACATTCTTTGTCAAAGCTCATAGAATGTACAACATAAATGGTAAGCCCTAATGAAAACCATTGACTATAATAATAAACATTGGCTAATCAATTGCAACAAATTTACTACACTAATGCAAGTTCGTAATATGGGAAAATGAAAAGATCAGGTAAGGAGATACATGAAAATTCTGGACTTTTAGTTTTTCTGTAAATCCAAAACTGCTCAAATAATGAACTATAAGCAATGTTCTGAATATAGCCCCTGAAAATTCATAAGTTGAAATTTTAACCCATAATGTGATAGCATTAACAGACAGAGTACTTGGGAGATAACTAGGTCGTGAGGTTGAAGCCCTTATGGATGAGATTAGCGCCTTTTCTGTGCTATGTGAAGCTATGACAAGAATGTGGCAGTCTGCAACCTGGATGAGGACCCTCACCAGACTGTGCTAGCACCCTGATCTTGGACATCCAAAACTGGGAGAAATAATTTTCTGCTCTTAGCCACCCAGTCTATGCTGGGTCTACAGCTGCCCTATCTGACTAAGATGCTGTAATAATTAAAAAGAAAAAAAACTATGTGCATGTCATATATCTCAGACATTGCAGTCCTGGGCATTTATCTGAGAGAAATGAAAAGTTATATCCACACAAAAACCTGCACATGGTTGTATTTAGCGATGAAAAGGAATGAACTTTAATGAAATAAGCAACAACTTGGATGTATCTCAAGGTCATTATGTGAGTGAAAAAGTCAATCTTGAAAGGTCACAGGATATCTAATTCTATTTATATAACACCCTTGAGTTGGCAAAATTGTGGTGATGAAAAACAGGTTGTTCTAGAAGCTGGGGATGGGGTAGGAAAGGAGGAGAGTGCATGTGACTGCAACCGGGCTGCAGGGGGAGACCTTGTGGTGTGGGGCGGTGCTAGGCCGTGATGTGGTGGTGGTTACACAAACTGCATGTGTGATGCAACCATATAGATCCATACACACAAGACATAACAAACAGACAGTGTAGGATACTGTCTTCTAAGTAAGTGGTCAGAAAACTCCATGTTCAAGAAACTATTTGTAAAGTTCAAGATGGTTCTGTGAGGTAACTAAGTCGTGAGTCCTCTGAAATGAGCAACTAACCTGACACCTGGAGCTCCCAAGTGGTCCCCTGGTCATATGTCTGGGAGCTGAACCAGCACCCATACAGGCCAGCATCCAAGGCGGTGACTTTCTTCAGCCTCAGGGACACATGCCCATCGGCAATGAAATCCTTCATCAGCTCAGTTCTCCCTCTGTAGGATGGCTTTTGCATATAGTCCTGGTCTTTCCCATCCTGGTAGAGGTGGATGATGGCAGAGAACTGGTCCCTGAAAATCCGCACTTCCATGGCCTCTGCGTTTGTCTCAGGAGAAAGGAAGCAGGAGAAAACTACATCCTCCCCCACCAAGGCCTGGACAGGCTTGTTGGGCCCAATTACTTGCCACTGACCTGTGGGAGGAAACACAACAGATAATTATGCAAACTCGTTTGGTGCGTCCTACTCAGGCTGGAGTGGAAAGGTGACGTTCCAGGCAGTGAGAAATATCACAACTGCTTCATTAAGGTGAGTGACTTGCCAGTGTGTATCCCTCACCCCTTACAGAACATGTCCACATCTGCTATTTCACCAAGTCCTTGCAAACATCCCTAGAGGTGTACCTTATTAAGGGTGCCCATTCTCAAGATGAGAAAATTGTGTTTCAGAGACTCCACATATGTTACCCAGAGATATGAGAGACACTTTCCAAATGCAGATTCTCTGACTAGAGGAGGTGCTATAACCACATTCTCTCTGGCCTATGTGCTTTACTGATAACTCATGACGGCCATTTTTCCATCTCCTTTGCCAGAAACCAAAGTGCACCTCTTTCCAATGACTCAAGGGGCATGGACATGGCCCTAAAACTTCAGTTTGGGGAAATTCATTTCCCTCAAACACATGATTACATTTTGTAAAAATTTTATGGGCATAATAGAGGAATATATATGAGGGTGCCAAGAATGTATGCACATTTTAAGAGATCTTATAGGAAGTAAAATCAACCATTCCTCCAAAGTGTATGAATTGCAGGTAAAATGGATGTGAGTAGCATGTCTAGTCTAGGCACACTTGACCAGTTTTAGTAGCTTCATTTCAACTTTGAAAAGTAATAGATAGATAACATTTCTTAAAATGTGTATATACTCTTTTTGCACTCTCTGCATTATACTGCCATAGATTAAATGTGAATTTATGTTTCTTTATTTTTTTATCTATGTTTTATGCCAAAATCTGAAAGACATACTGTGACACCATGGCAAGGAGATTTTAAAGTTTTAAAGTACATCCTTTCTATAACATGAATCTTCTTCATTGTGTAATAGTTTTCTTTTTTCCTTTTTATGATTCTGGCCTTGAATGGGCCTTGACTCAATACTTTATCAACATATCTTGCTTTTGTTTTGTTTATATGTTCTTGGTTCATCTTTGACCTCACATTCATTCTGAAACTTTTTTCTTTCTTTCTTTCTTTTTTGTTTAGCAGGCCCAGGCTGGGTTTTAACCCGCCAGTCCCTGTACATGGGGCTGGTGCTCTAACCATTGAGCACAGGCACCCAACCCATTCTGAAACTTTCTTCATCATCTTGTTTCAAGCGTGACAATTATCTTTCTGTGATTCTTCCCTGTTCAGCTCTCAGCTTCATGCAGACAAGGCCTGTTTTGCTTAGCACAGCATCTCAGGTGTCCAGCACAGAGTATAAGCTCCACAAGTAATAGTTGTATGTATGAATGATGAGCACCATTTTCTTTTCTCACTTGTTCAACTATTTAATAATCTTTTCAGTAATTATCCTGGTGTAAATCATACTTGTCATTCTGTAATAATCAGGCTTATTTTTAGAGAGATGACAAATTGTGGAGGCACGCTACCTCCAACCCCTATGTCCACATCCACTTTGGGAGTCTCTCAGATTAATCCACATGTAATCATTTACGAATGCACGGAGGAAAGTGTGTGGGTGGGGTGAGTACCTGTGCATTGGAGGCAAAATAGGTCTATGTGAATTCCCAAATAACTGAAGATTTTTTATTTTATTGTTTCTTGCCCTAAATATATTTTATAAATCTTCCTGAAATGTATTTCACACATATACCCTGAATGACACTATAACTAAATGAAGTGTGACTTTGCAGCATGATCTCTGCTGGCTGCTGACCTGAGGTAGCAGAGGCTAATGGCCCTGTCCTTCACCTCCCCACCTTTGAGCGCCCTGTGCTGGGATAGGTACTTCCCAAGCCTCTGACAGGTCTTCCCCAGGATCTTGGCCTCTGCCTCTCTGCTGATAGCCTCCTCCCTGATTTGCAACTTGCTGACCCCAGGAACAGGACAGCTCAGAAAAGCTGAGATTTAACTCCTCTGAGGGCACATCCTAACCAGTGAGAGAGCAGATGAAGCTCCAAGCTCTCATGGGTCTCACTGAGATGATTCTGAGCTGCTGTCAACACAATTCCTCAAAAAGTCCCACGGAAGGTTCCCAGTCGGAGCCAGCTCCAGCTGTTCTCAGACCCCTCTTTAACACACTCTCAGTGGCTCCTCACTTCTGCACTCCCCCCACCCCCAAATCATCCCCTAAATAAACCACCTGCAGACAAGCTGCTGCCCCCAGGGTCTACTCTGGGGCATCCAGCCTAAGTCTTCCCAGCTGTTGCTGGTGCTGCCTTCAGGGCTGTGTGGGGCACATTTCCTGGGCCTCTCTGCTTCTCTGGCTGCCCTTACTGTTATCATTTGTCTTGTGCTGTGGCAGCTCCTTCCACTCTTTACTCTTCCTCACCCTGGGGAGCAGCAGGAAGAACTGTCTACTATTGCCCACGTGCCATTTGCCAGGGGAGCTCTGTGCCCCAGGCTTGAAGTGCATGGCAGCCTGTTAAGAATGTGATGCCAACTCCATGTGGTGACAAGCAAACTGAAACTTTGGGAAGTTATCAGCCACAGAGCTCATAAGCAGAGAAATGAAGACACTTTAAAATGAAGTCTTCCTGCCTCCGAGGTCATTTCCATTTGCTTTGCTGCCTTTCCTGAAAACCAGAGACTAAGAAGTCAGTCGGAAAATGAAAAGGGCTCTCATAAGTAACACGCACGGGGGTTGGTGTAGCAGTGTACACCACGGTTTGAATGCCCTTATTTCCCTTTTCTTAGTGTGGTCTAGTAAAACAGATGTAGGCAGATGGGCAGCAGGTGGATCCTGCATGGAGAGATGGTGAGCATAATCTCCAAACCTCTCACAGCTAGACACTGACCACCCCGAGATTTGGGTCTACTCCAGCCCCCAGATTCCTCTGTGGATTTTATTCAGTCACTTAACATCCCATATACCATGTTTTGTATCAAATGGTAACAGGAAGAAAAAGAAGACAATATTTCTGCCCCACATAAGCTGAGCTCCACATTGAAAATCTGGACACCCCACCCTCAAGTGCTGTGACTCAGTATGTCCACAGCTGGACACTGGTCTTTTCCTCACATATACTAAACAGTGTCTCCTTCCACCTGGTGGCTGTACATCAGGATCCCGGGTGTTCTATTAGAGAGCTCCTTTGCCTAACCCCCACAGCCCATCTGTTAATATATTCACCTCAGTGTCCTTGGGGTGTGCAGCTCCTGCCACAGGGCCTCCCATCCACACTCCACTCCCAGCGCTCCTCCTCTGCTCCAGCAGTGCCCAGAGCACCCAAGTCCCCCCACAGCCTCATGCCTCCCACAGCCCCAGGCACTGGGGAATATAAACAACAAAGATCCCTCCATCCCATTGAGCTGCAATTATTGTAGCTAAAGCATCAAACTAGGAAGGAGATGAAAGAGTCTGCTGCAAGGCTTACCTGAGCCCAGCTTGAGAAGACTGAGAGCCAAAGCAAGTACGAGGACCATGGATGTGTCCCAGTGCAATGCTCTCATGTTATATGGACACAGATGACAGATCCATTGCAGATGGATGGGTGATCTAGTCAGAGAAAAAAGGAATCACACTAGCTGTCCCAGGTGCAGGAGACAGGAGAGACCCCAAACGAGCCAATGGAATACTATGGTGTCCCCCTTAGTGTCTCCCTTACATTGACATGGCTGTATGAATCAGAGCTATGGAGTTTGGACTTTGAATCACTATGTTTATTGGCAGGCCATAAACATCTATCTCAATCAGGGAAAGAAAAATGGCAAGGGGTGGGGCAGCCAGAGAGGGGACTTAGTACTAAGTCAAGACTGTGTCCTGGGTGGGGGCAGGGAAATGTCAAGGGTGGGATTCAGGTCCAGTCTGGCAGGTTACAGTTGTACAGGCAGATAGACATCTAGTTCTGAAAGAGGTTGTCCCAACAGAGTGTAAAGGGGTCTCAGACAAAAAGGTGGGGCTCCTAGAGCTGCCTGAGATAATCCTGTTGCTTTCTTGTCTTGAGTTTAGGGCCAGGACTCTGATAATGAGATAGGGAATAACTTGCTAGAAGAAGATTGGGCCTTCGTGTCAAGGGATACAAGGTATTAGGAAAGGAGCCACTGTAGGTTCAAGCATGGGGGAAAGGGAAGAGGCATCCATTTAGTTAGTAGACATGGTGAGCCAGGACAACTCAGTGAGAGATTATGCAGTATTTTCAAGCACATGGAAACTCACAATGACCACTTACCAGATCAGAAAGCAAATTTCCACAGATATCACTGCAAAGAACAGCTCCTTTTACTATGAAATTAAGAAAATATATTCAACACATTCTCTTAATGAAATTAAGAAAAAATCAATTTAAAAATAGAAAACTCTATGCACTAATAATTATTGATTCAATTTTAAATGATAGAAAATACTTAGAATAAACAAGAATGAATATATTATATTCAGCTAAAATCCCAAACACTGGAATTGCTTATATCTGGCAAGAATGTGGAGCAACAGGAACACTCATTCATTGTTTGTAGGAATGAAAAGCATATGATCACTTTGGAAGACAGTTTGGCAATTTCATGCAAAGCTGAACATACTCTTACTGCAATGTCCTACCAATTATGCTCTTGATATTTACCCAAGTAAGTTGAAAACTTATGTTCACACAGAAACTTACAAATGTTTATAGCTGATTTATTCATAATTGTAAATGTGGAACAATGAACATGTCTTTCAATACTGGAATGGATGAACAAACACTCATATGTCACAATATTATTCAGTGATAAAAAGAAAGGAGCTATCCATGAAAAGACATGGAGGAAGCTTCAATGCATATTCCTTCGAGAAAGAAGCCACTGTAAAAAGGTAGAAATAACATGATTTCAAGTACATGACATTTAGAAAAGGAAAAAACTATGGAGATAATAAAAATTCACTAATCATCAAGGTTTTGAAGTAGGAGTGTGAGAAAAGAAGAGGGATGAATAGGAGCAGCACAGGAGATTTCTGGCAGCAGAGCCATTCCATATGACACTGTAATGGTGGTTACAAGGCATGAAGCATTTGTGAAACCTCTGTGCAACACAAAGAATGGCCTTAGTTAATAAAGATAAATTAATATTACTTCATAATTTATAGCAATAAACCCGACAAATGCAAAATATTAATAGCAAGTGAAAATGTGTATGAAGGGAAAGATCTGTATTTTTTTTTTTTTTTTTTTGGCTGGGGCTGCGTTTGAACCCACCACCTCCAGTATATGGGGCTGGCACCCTATTCCTTTGAGCCACAGGCACTGCCCAAAAGATCTGTATTTTTTATAAATCTAAAAGTAATCTAAAAAACTAACATTTGTTGATTTTGCAAAATGAAGAAAAATATTATATTTCTTTAAAAAATTTTTTTTTAATTTTTTATGAGCAATTCTCTTGCCTCAGCCTTCCAAGTAGCTGGGACTACAGGTGGCTGCTACAGTGCCTGACTATTTTTTTTGTTGTTGTTGTTCTAGCTGTCATTGTTGTTTGGCAGGCCCTGGGCCAGATTCGAACCCACTAGCTCTGGTGTATATGGCTGGTGCCCCAGCCACTGAGCTACAGGCACTAAGCCAAAAATATTATATTTCAAAACCTGTACAAAAAGCAGTTTTTAGAAATATTTATCCTTAAATGCAATATTAGAAAGAGTCTTAAAACTCACTGAACAAAGCATTTGACTCCGAAGCCAGTCATAAATTGTGTCCCATGTTGACACTGCAGATATGAGGAGGATTCCTGCCCTCTGGGAACTTACAGAGCTCAGGAGGAGACAAGCAGTGAACCACCATGTTCCAGGAAGATCCCAGCAGAGGAAACACCTGAGTAATACTTGAGGCCAAGAAGCCATAGCAGGGAATGAGAGTCTTTGTGCGATGACATGAAGGAATACAGCAATAGCATATATTTGGAAAACAGTAAATAAATTCTAAGAGTATAATAAAAGCTTCATGTAAAGGAAGTACAAGGGAATAGACTAGGAAGGTAAGAGGCTCCTCATAAAAGATCTTGGATGCTAAGCTCACACATTCAGCTCTCTTTTGAAGCTTTTGAGGAGCCTCTAACACATGTTAAGAATAGGAAGTAATGTGATTGGCTTTTAATTTAGAAGCATCACTATGTTGAAGTGGGTTTTTTTGGGTGTTTGGTTCATTCATGCTGCTATGAAAATACACCTCATGCTAGGTAGTCTTTAACCACAGAAATGTATTGCACACAGTTCTGAAGCCTGGAAAGCCCAAGATCAAATTTCCAGCAGATTCCCTGTTTGGCGAGGGCTCATTCTCTTATTTGCAGAGGACACCTCCTCTCTATGTCCTCATGTGTTAGCAGGTACAAAGCTCTCTCAGGCTTCTTTTATAAGGACGTTAAACTCATCCCCCAAAGATTTGCTCTTATGATCTAATCACATCCCAAAGTCTCACCTATCATTGTTATCATACTGGGGATTACATTTCAGTGTATACATTTTAGAGGGACACATCATTCATAGCATCCCAATGCTGGATCACCAAAATTTGTGTTCTTCCTCTATGAAAAAATATACTTATTCCATCCCAATAGCCCCTAAAGTCTTAAATTATTCCAGCATCAACTCAAAAATCTGAAGTCTCTATAATTTGTATGTTTGAATGCTTCATGAAGTTGCATAATTCTTTGACTGAATGTTCTGCTTTCCCTCTCTTCTTTTATGCCTCTCTGATGATGTTGGTAGGTCCCCACAGGAACATACTGCAAATTTTCTTCTATATTTGGCAGAAGTGGGGTCTTGCAGGTAAGGAGCTCTTGACCTCAAGGGACCCACACAGCCTGGCCTAGTATCATTTAAATGTAGTAACTAACTACTAACTACTAACTACATTTAGTAGTAGTTAGGATTAACTAACAACTAACTACTAACTACATTTCTGTGGTTAAAGGCTACCTAGTATGAGGTGTATTTTCATAGCAGCATGAGTGAACCACCCAAAAAACCCACTTCAACATAGTGATGCTTCTAAATTAAAGCCAATCACATTACTTCCTATTCTTAACATGTGTTAGATGCTCCTCAAAAGCTTCAAAAGAGAGCTGAATGAGATGCCTAGTATCATTTAAATCAGTCATGAGTGAGACCCAAATCACAATTCATCCTGAAGCAAATTGCTCTCCAGCTTTGAATTTGTAAACTCAAACAAGTTATGTGCTTCCAAAATGAAATGGCTAAACAGGCATAAGATCCTAAAATGCATAACTAACTACAAAAGATGCCACATAGCTAAAGCAATCCTGAATGATGAGAACAAAGCTGAAGACATCACACTATCTCAGTTCAAAATATACTGCTAAGCTGTAGTAGCCATATCAGCATGGTACTGGCAAAAAAACAGACATATAGACCAATGAAACAGTTTAGAGAATCTAGATATAAAACCATGTATTTATAGTCAACTAATTTTTAACAAAGGTGCCAAGAACATACAACGAGGAAAAGGTAGTCTCCTAAATAAATGGTGCTGAGAAAATTGGATAACCATTTGCAGAAGAATAAAAGTAGAACCCCACATCTTGCTATATACAAAAATCAACTGAAAATGGATTATAGACTTAAATGTAAGAACTAAAAGTATTGGGTGGTGTCTGTGGCTCAAAGGAGTAGGGCACCAATTCTATACACTGGAGGTGACAGGTTCAAACCCAGCCCCGGCCAAAAACTGCAGGGGAAAAAAAAAAAGAACTAAAAGTATCAAACTACTAGAAGAAAATATTGGGGAAATGCACCAGGGCATTAGTATGAGCAAAAATTTTTGTTGAAAATTACTTGAGTATAATGGTCTTATATTATAGATTTTTTATTCTGTTTCATTGATCTATGTGTCTGTTTTTATGCCAGTACCATGCTGATTTGATTATTAGAGCTTAGAGGTATATTTTGAAGTCAAGTAGTGTGATGTCTTCAGCTTTGTCCTCATTATTCATAGAAATACATGTTAAATTAATCTTGTTTAAGCCACTACTTTTGTGGCAATCATTTTTTGGCAGCCAGAAAACTAAAATAACCTTCTATATAGTATTAGACATTTTGTTCTTGAAGTAATCACTAAATATTCAGGAAGAAGTTTCCAGTAAACAGTTGAAAATGTAGATTTGGGAGTCACTGGTCAATACCTGGTGAAAAAACCATGAGAGGAGGTGACCTCAGCTGAAGAACGAGCTTGGGGCAGGAAAAGTTAAGAACTAAGAAGTGAACCTTGAATGGGGAGAGTACGGAGAGCAGCTAATTAAGTTCCCACCTGTCAGGTACAATGTAGGGGCATATTGTATATTTCCTGGTTGAAGGACTCAATTACAACTCAAACTTTGATCTTCACTCCTTACAAATGCAAATAATGTAACCTAATCATACGTATCCTCATATTAACCTTAAATCATGAAAAAAAGAAGTGAGCCTTGGAGAATAAAAATCTTCAAGGATCCAGGTAGAAGGA